AATCTTCCAAAGAAGCCAAATCGGTGAGTCTATCGTTTATCCATCCACGTCTGTCGTATATTTTCATATTATTTTTCAATATATAATATACGCGACATGACGGATAGCAACTACAGTAGTATTAATATAACGGACTCCCATGTACGTGTACCGAATCCTTGGCACTTTTTATTCACGTGACGGTAAATTCCACGCCTTATTCGAGAAATTTTCCCTCATTAACTATTCTCCTCGCTGACCCGGCTGCTTGGTACGGAATGCATACGCATTACCGTCGACCACCCAGCATCAAATGGTTAAGTTGAACGGTTCCATTGTCAACTTAAAAGTGCTCTACGAGCACACGAAAACGACTATTGCTACGAAACCTTACCTCTCACTCTCTTGGACATCAGAACGAGCTTGAAGGCAGATATTCAATGTTCCGCCGCTGAACTTGTATACGGCACGACATTGCGTCTGCCCGGGGAATTCTTCACACCACGGAGCAGACCTGATTTCGGTAAATCAGACTACGTCCATCGACTGTCTGCATTTATGCGAACGCTGTTTCCGGTGTTAACTCGACTACAATATCGACAGGTCGCTCTCCCTCGAGAGTTATCTACCCGTTCACATGATTTCATACGAGAAGATTCGGTACGCAAACCTTTGTAACAACCTCACGATAGCTCTTTTCACGTGATCGCTCGTCAAGAAAAGACCTCCAAGGTTGGTCGACATTGCCGCTTTGAGATCGTCAGCATTGATCGTCTCAAACCAGCACACGTTGACAGTGCACTATCTGATACCCTGAGATTCAATGCTAGACCTATCAAACCTAGCGGGATCCTTAAATCTTCTTCAGATCCCACGCTAGATACATCTGAGACCTCATTCTCACGTCCCGGTCAACAGCACGCGTGATCTACATTATCTACGAACGAGACGACAGTCTCACGTCCAGATCAGCAGGCCACGCCACCTCTGACCTCGGATGAGATCGCAGGCTCACGAGATGCGAACGAGACTACCGTCTCACATTCCGGTCTCCAAGTACGGTTGCCCGTATGTTTCCGCGACTAGCAGCACAGCTAACAACAGATGCGGTGTAAGACTATTCCTATGCTACATGCATGCTACACTCTTCTTCTTTTTGTTTTTTTTCTGTATCCTGAGCCCACGCCTTCGGACATCCGCGTTTGGTACCGTCGACTCCAGTCAACTTTGGAGAAAGCTGGCCTGATCACCCACGCTCTTGTCAACGCACTCATTCGATATTCTGGTTTCAAATCTGCCTGGAACATGTTTGTTTTCGCACTTGATTGTTATGGTCGCTTCTGGTTTCTTGGCTCAACGTAGTTTCGTCCTACGTCTGCAGCGTTTCTAGTCCGCATCCCTACGAACGCAATCTTCAGATTCTGGATACAAACCACTCTGGTGTGGTATGCCAACTCGAGCAACAAATACAGCACACCACCCCTGGTACCGTTCTCCGAAAAAGACCTTCGTTAGCAACTCGACGACCAACGATCACTTTCCTGTTCCGCCACTTCTTCCGTCCCACAATCGTTCATCAGCCGACCAGTCCCACGATTTTAAATGCTATTAATCGAAAGTGTAAAGCCTTTCTAGCGGGGGGCTCGTGACTTACTTTTATCACGAGAACATGATTGGTTTCATGAAAACAATTATTATTGTTACCAATTGTACCAGCCCTTGATTTATTGTGCTCTTCGTTTAACTCCGCCTGGAGTCTCTCCGGGGGCTACTGCCGGTCCCAAACCCGGATAAAGGAGGAGGGTTGGGCATGGAGTTAACGTCCCCATCCCGTAAAAAAAATTCGCTAAAACAACGCTAACCAGAAAAAATTAATCAAAACTTTTAAACTCTGCCCTGGGAGTCAGAAGGTCTTCATTTAGAAGAATTATGACGCCTCATGATGAAAGCCGTATTCCTTCGGAAGTTACGTGGCCGACGGCCCTTCTGACAACCAGAGAAACCATTTATTTAGGTACATGGAATGTTCGTACAATGTGAGACACCGGAAGGGCCTTCCAAATCACTGCAGAAATGAGGAGATACAACCTAGAGGTGCTTGGGATCAGTGAAACACATTGGACACCAGTTGGACAACAACGACTAACTACAGAAGAGCTCCTGTTATACTCCAGCCATGAAGAAGAAAATGCACCACATACACAAGAAGTTGCACTGATGCTGTCCAAACAAGCGCAAAATGCACTTATAGGATGGGAATCTCATGGACCAAGGATCATCAAAGCCTCGTTTAAAACAAAGAAAGAGGGCATTTCAATGAACATCATCCAATGCTTTGCGCCTACCAACGACTACAATGAAGACGCTAACGATCAATTCTACAATAGGCTGCAGTCAATCATCGAGAAGTGCCCGACAAAGGACCTGACCATTCTGATAGGAGATTTCAATGCCAAGGTTGGAACGGACAACACTGGATATGAAGACATCGTGGAACGACACGGACTGGGAGAAAGAAACGAAAATAGTGAGAGATTTGCAAATCTATGTGCCTTCAATAAACTGGTCATAGGCGGCACCATATTCCCACATAAACGCATACACAAAACCACATGGACTTCACCGGATCACACCACGCAAAACCAAATCGACCATATTTGCATCAACAAAACGTTCAGGAGGACTATAGAGGACGTGAGAACCAAGAGAGGAGCTGATATAGCATCAGATCATCACTTGCGGGTCGCCAAGATGAAGTTGAAACTCAAGAAACACTGGACAACGGGGCGGACAATATCACAAAAGTTCAATACGGCCTTTCTCCAGGATACTAACAAACTCAACAAATTCAAGATAGTCCTCAGCAACAAGTTCCAGGCCTTTCATGATCTACTCAATGGAGAAGGAACTACTGTGGAGAGCAACTGGAAGGGGATCAAAGAGGCAATCACTTCAACATGTCATGAGGTCCTGGGTCACAAGAAGCACCATCACAAGGAATGGATCTCTGTTAATACATTGGATAAGGTGCAAGAAAGGAGGAACAAGAAAACAGCAATCAATACCAGTCGAACAAGAGCAGAAAAAGCCAAGGCACAAGCTGAATACACAGAAGTAAACAAACAAGTAAAGAGGAGCATCAGAACCGACAAACGTAAATATGTGGAAGATTTAGCAACGACGGGTATTGTTAAACAGGATGAAGAACTGCGTAAACGCCCAACTTCGTGACCAACAGGCAGGATTCCGTAAGGATAGATCGTATACAGACCAAATCGCAATTCTACGGATCATTGTGGAACAATCAATTGAATGGAATTCATCACTCTACATCGACTTCATTGACGACGAAAAAGCATTTGATAGCGTGGACAGAACAACACTATGGAAACTTCTTCGACACTACGGCGTGCCTCAGAAGATAGTCAATATCATACAGAGTTCATATGATGGATTACACTGCAAAATTGTGCATGGAGGACAGTTGACAAAGTCGTTCGAAGTGAAGACCGGTGTTAGGCAAGGTTGCTTACTCTCACCCTTCCTCTTTCTCCTGGTGATCGACTGGATCATGAAGACGTCAACGTCTGAAGGAAAGCGCGGGATACAATGGACATCTAAGATGCAGTTGGATGATCTAGACTTCGCAGACGATCTGGCCCTTCTATCCCACACGCAACAACAGATGCAGGAGAAGACAAACAGCGTGACAGCAGCCTCAGCAGCAGTAGGTCTCAATATACACAAAGGGAAAAGCAGGATTCTCCGATACAACACAGCATGCACCAATCCAATCACAACTGACGGAGAAAATTTGGAAGATGTAAAAGCCTTTACGTATTTGGGCAGCATCATTGATGAACAGGGTGGATCTGATGCAGATGTGAAGGCGCGGATCGGCAAAGCAAGAGCAGCATATTTACAACTGAGGAACATCTGGAACTCAAAGCAACTCTCAACCAACACCAAGGTCAGGATTTTCAATACAAATGTCAAGACAGTTCTACTGTATGGGGCAGAAACCTGGAGAACTACGAAAGCCATCATCCAGAAGATACATGTGTTTATTAACAGTTGTCTACGCAAAATACTTCAAATCCATTGGTCGGACTCTATTAGTAACAACCAACTAAGGGAGAGAACAAACCAGATCCCAGTGGAGAAAGAAATCAGGAAGAAGCGCTGGAAGTGGATAGGACACGCATTGAGGAAAGCACCGAACTGCGTCACAAGACAAGCCCTCACATGGAATCCTCAAGGTCAAAGGAAAAGAGGAAGACCAAAGAACACATTACGACGAGAACTGGAGATAGACATGAGAAGAATGAACAAGAATCGGATGGAACTAGAAAAGAAGGCCCAGGACAGAGTGGGTTGGAGAATGCTGGTCTGAGGCCTATGCTCTATTGGGAGCAAAAGGCGTAAGTAAGTAAAAAGTAAGTTGTTTAATTGTCCTAATGACAGCTATATTGTGCTTATATTATTATTCTTACACTTTGGTTGTGACCTCGCGCGAATACGATTACCCTCTGTAACCAAGCTTGTATCCTGGCACGATCTCGGTATTCTTTCGATACCACGAGATTGCAAGCAATTATATCTCAACCTGTTCCGTTAACTGCCTTCTGATTTTTGGCTTCCGCGGGATTTTTGGATATCCAGGCACGCGTTCCTTTTGTAGTGGTGTTCATAGTCAACCGCGACTCGACACCATACTATAGGCTCATACACATGTTCATTAATAGTGTTAGATATGTGCATCAATTGTAAATGAACTTTTTTTTCGTCAAAAATCGTTACATAGCGAAATACTGTTGTCTCCAGAGTCAGAAATGCTTATTGGTTATTAATACATTTTCAAGTATTCAGCTGCAAACTCATGAACATAAATAAATCAAATGAGAATATGCAATAGAGCTAATTTCAGAAGAGTAAAATACTGGTAAGTTCACTTAATAATGTTTTTTAGTTCAAAGGTTGGAAATTTAAGTGAACGTTTGGTTATTTTCAGTTGGTAGCGCGCTTTTTGAGATGTGACCTTGAGGGATGCAGAATTCCAACAGTATTCTTAATTTAGTTCTGATTGGCTTTCATCACAGGAAGGGGTCTGTTGTAAGTAGTTCGCTTCATAAACGACTTTGATTTCACAAGGTTGAGCTAGTCTATCCCTCACTGTCATGTGATGGTTCTGATCCTACACATCTCCCTCATCCTTGGCGTCATTTGCCTGCTTTAGCAATAGCCGATGGAGCCCATAACTACACAAAAGGTTGGTCACAAACATAATTGGTTAATTTATTCAGATTGCACATATTTCAGCTTACCTTCAATAGAGAAGAAGGATGTTGCTGTTTTTGGAATTGCTTGTTACCGCCAGGCAGACTCAGCTGTAAGTTTTCATGTTTTTTAATGAATGATTGTATTATCTGGCAATACTTTGTTAAAGAATACATTCCACCATGCGGTTACAACTGATGTCACTGTCCCGCTGCAGATATTTAAGTCTATTCAAAGGTCATGAATTAATTTTTAGAGAATCCTCATGAAACTGCTGCACTGTTAACAGAAATATATTTTGTCACAGTGCCAACCTACCGTGACGTTATTCACATCTTCTGGTAAGCTACGAATTCCTACAGAGCTCCCAGTATCATCGTCTGAGGCTTTCTGTTCGGGCGTCCAAACTGATAATTACTCTGTTTGTATTAATATTTGGATATCTGATGTAGTGGCTCATACTGGCCCACAATTTTTAGACAAAGATGCTTTGAACTAAACTGCTGTGTCTGGACCAGTTTTTCTTGTCTGATTTTTCTTTTTTTTCCCGGTCATCGCTGATCAGGAAATATAACTTCATTAATTACTTGTTTCTTATTATCGTCAAAAAGCGAAAAGTTGACAAATTTTAATTGCACTTTCCATTTTCAGTCGTATGTTCAACCTAATCCTGAGATCACTCGAAACACTGTACAAAAAAGCTTGGTTGTACTATCGAGATTTGTAAGTCGTATACAATAATCCTTATTGTGTTTTCATTTGTAATCGTTTTAGGCAAATATAGTTACCACTTAAATCCATTTTTTAAGTTTTCAGCTATACACAATCTTGACAACCAAACTAAAGTATATTTTTATCGTTGGGATACTCATACTCTTTGTTTTCTGTGTTCTAATTCTTACTATTACTGTGGCACGTGTAAATATTTGATTATATCGAACGACAGTAGTCAGTCAGTCAGTCAGCTACAACGTAGGACCAGGCACATATGTGCATCGGTCCAGGTTGCCATACCTCATTAGCACAGCAAGATGAACAGCGGATTCATAGGAGTGGTTAGGTCAAAGGTGGTAATATATAGGAGAAAGATTGCAATAAGGATATAGTATAGGAAGAAAGAATTAGTACGTAGAAAGGAAGATATGAAGTGATTTTAATCTCTTAGTTTAAGGGAAGACAGGGAGTGTATACACCGACGCCATTGTGATCGATTCTGAGCCATGTCACCAAGAGTCTCCAACCATTGGTTACGATTGTCACGCGGACCCCAACCAAGTAGTCTGCATCTACCAACATGGCTCAGACTAGAAGTTAGTGACTTCAGGCACTGATGCCACAGTAGTACATAGTTATGATTGGATTGACCCCGGTCGTTACCACTACAATTGTTGTTTCAATACGCATAAGTTTAAAATCTGTTTATAATTATTTGCAAAGTATATACTATGAAAAACGTCAATTCACTTCAGGGTATCGCAAAATGTACTTCGATGTCTTTGTTGTTGGGTTAGGATGCCGAACTGGGCAATGTAGTCACTTACTACGGTGACTTCATTTGAACATGCGGGCTAGGAAGTTTACAGTGAGGCTCTAGTTTTATATTTTTCAAAGTAGAAACTATTAATAGGTAGTGTATATCCTTATCATTACCAGTTTTTACCCAAATATTTAAAAAATCATTTTTCCTCCATAGTTAATTTTATAGATACATGAAAATTGGCTGTCGAGTCTCGAAATACATAATTGATCTATCCTATGGATTCCATATTCTGTTAAGGTGAATCTAAATGGATTTAGGAGGTAGTGTAAATCTATGTCACTGCATCACAGAGTTTTGATTATTAGATCTTGATTTCTGACTTCACACAGATTTCAGATATCGATAGCCTCAACATGTGTTTTGAAGCGCGGTTTTACAAGGCCATAAACATTATTTCATAAGCTCCAATTATTTGTGTTAGTTGCATTTGATGTAAATCAAGCTATCGAGGAAACATTGATAAGGGAAGTGAGTTTAAGTGAGACGCTCTCGGAAAAAGCTTATACTTATCTGCTATCAGCCGACGTTTAAAACGATGGGCGGGACACTTTAAGTTCAGCTGGCCCTCAGCTATTCTATAACTGCCCACCATTCCCAAATAGCCTGAATGAAACATTGATTTAGCCCCCCCCCCTCCGACTCTAATTGAAGTTCAAAAAGCTATAGCTAATCTAAAACGAGGAAGGGCAACTGGTCCAGATAAATTGCCTTCAGATGTCTTTAATTATAGTGGTCCAGTTTTAGCGATTAGGTTGACTAATATTTTAGCTAAAATCTAGGAGTTGGACATAATCCCATCTGACTGGTCGCAATCACTTGTCCCAATATATACAGGAATCGGTCAAAATCATCCTGTGATAGCCATGTACTGATTAGTTTGAGTAATATGGCATCTAAAATACTAGCTTCAATAATAATCCTGTTTGGTGAAGACGCTGATAAAATCCATAGTGTTTTGATAGCACTGAGAAACAATGCCAGGATGTTTGGAATGCGTTTCTCACTTTCTAAATGCAAATTGTTGCTTTAGAACTGATCTGCGTCAACATGTGAAACGAAAAATAGAGTGAAGTAGTCGAACGCGTCGACAGCTTCACTTATCTTGGAAGTCTGGTCAGCCTCAATGGGTTGGTGTCTGATGAAATCTCTGCACGGATTGAGAAAGCTCATTTGGCTTTTGCCAACTTATGTCACCACCTATGGCGAAGGCAAGATATCCGTCTGTCGATTAGAGGACGGATGTACTGTGCGGCAGTTCGTTCTGTTTTACTTTACGACTGCGAAACGTGGCCATTAAGAGTAGAAGATATCACTAATAATTCTTAGAGTACAGTGAAAATCAATTTACTCCAAGATTATAAAAAGATCAAGTAATCAAAAACGACTAAATTATTAATTCGTTATGGTGAAGTTTTCAATTAAAATTTGTCGACTTTGCTCATTCCAACCTTCGTCCAACCCTGTAATTAACATCCATAAAAATACAAAAATAGCTTTTATGTGTATCGTTTTAAAGCTTTACTGGAATTTAAAAAGTGCGAAGATAACCGCATTTCAAGTGGTCTTATTATCCTTGATACTGTCCATAGTTTATCTTATGTAATACATTTTTTACTTCACACATTTCAGTGCAGATAGTACTACCTGTTCTTCAGAATGATAGGTGGTTGTGATGAGAATGTCCCACTTGATCTTGGTTAATCGTACAATCACACTTTTTTTTTATATTTATCACCAGTCTTAATTTAGAGGGACTTAAAAGTAGATAACCTATTCAGTACAGGAACACGTTATAAACAACGTAATTCTTGAAGTGAATAATTTCATTTTTTAGCCCTTTTAGTCATCTTATTTTTTAACGTGTAATTTCTCCCATCAATTGGGTTTTTTCCAATTCTCCTTGCTAATCGACCTCTATTCATTCCAATCCCAAGTAAACAACATTTCCAATGGATGTTAATGTGTTGGACGTTTCACACCTATGTACATGTATCACGAAAACGTGTGCTGAATCTTGACATTTCTCAGATATCAATAATGGTACTTGGTGTTATATAACAGACTTCGTGATCTAAATATTCCACTGCAAGTTGTATGTGCATTATATAATACCTCATGTCACTTAACTGTAAATACAAGTAATTTACAGTAATAAAACCTTTCGATTGATGTCGGTTCCATTCAACCGTCAATATCACCCAGTAGCATATTTAATTACAATATATTACTGTTTGCAATTTTTTAATTTGTAAATATTTTCTCTTTTACTTTTTTTCTCTAGCCACTTTTTAGTTTCATCGCCCATCATCTTACGACAATAATTGATAATCTGTTTAAAAGCAAAGGTTTTACTCCAGAAAGTCTCCAGAACTCATATGAACAATTAAGTCATTTTGTAGACACTGTCTTAAGTGATCCAGTTTCTTACCAAGGTATGGTTATATGGTGTGCTTAATTTTCAACTAATTAGCTTTTTTCCCTAGTAACCAACTTTTGAAACGCTGTTATGATTGGTTCACAAAATAGTTTTTTGACACAGAACATACCGATCCACAATAAAAGCATTACTTTAGAAAAATCAACACGTTAAAAAATTATTTGACTTAGTAACCACTTATCTGAAGTGTTTAGCAAAGTATATACTTGAATGTAAATCATTTTTGTTAATCATAGGGTCATTGTAGGACATTAAGCAGACGATAAATTCGGTCCCATAATTCGTAGTCTAGTTTCTGATGTGCACATCAAGGTTATGTATTGGAATTACACTTGGTTGAATAGTACGAGATAAAAGTTTTGTACTGATGAAAACTCCAAAACCTTTGGTGAAATGTCCGTGTACAAATTTCATAAAGCAATAAACAGTTGTTACCCTCACCACAAAATGCATACTATCACACTTTTATCAAAAACATACCCTACCGAATTGTTACTTTGATCACAATGAGTCTTTCGCTAAGTGTTCATCTTCAGTAAAATTGATTTCACTTTATTTCATATATTTGAAAGAAAATGAATAAAAAAATCAGCTCATTCACCAGGTGAATATCAGTCACACTCTAAATGTGAGAGCTAACGCCACTACTCGACTACTGAAACTGCCATAGGTGGAGCGGGATTGACATAAATAGAACTTAGGTATTTCCTTAACTAAAAATAGATTACTAATTATCTTCGTATCGTTAAAAACAATTACATTCATTAAAAGGTTTTAAACATATGACTGTTTTATAAATGTCTAGTGAAAAAGAGCTTTGTTACACTCATTATTTACGAATTCATTGTATATGTGTGTGATGTCGACAGTTGATTCGTAACTAGCAGATCTCAGGTCCCAATTCAGTCAACTGGATAACATTACCATCAGAGCACATAATAGTCACTTAGACTGTAAAATTGTATTTATAGGTGATTTTTTTACATGGAGTATTATATTCTTAAGTAGGGTGTGCTGCGAAATTATCAAACTAATCCAAGTATTGACTGCAAAAGTCTGTAAACATTAAGTGGTATTCCTCATTTAATAAACTTACTTAAGATTTCAAGTATAGAATGTAATAACCTATAAATAAAATGGTGTTGTTTCGAAATAATTGATGTTGTCGAAAGTTTTCAGATATTGAATAAAATGGATATTGTATCATTTAGCAAAGTAATCAAAAGTTATTAAAATGTTAAGCTATGCAAGTTTAAGACTTATTAGGAACTAATAATTTGCACAATGGTCACCTCATATATGAGAGAGAAAAAGTGAAGAATAAGATAAAACTTGCCACTTTCTATTAGTAAAATTAAGAGGGGTGATAAGTTCATGGAAGAAAAATGAGTTGAAGATGACTTTTTTGTACAGAGAGTTTGGGTTTGAAATGATGAAATCCTATCCACAAATCTTCGAACCAGTTTTTTTAACTTCTTAGATGATTTTAAGCGACACTTCTTGTGATGGCGTGTAATTAGAGGTGGTCATGTTGTTCATTGGTTGAACCGTTATTCAATTTTCATTGACCTTTAGATTTCTTTACAGATTAGTGCAAGAATGTTTGTTTATTAAGTTCACGCTTTATGTAACTAACATAACCTGTTCCATGAAAGTAAGTAATAAATCCACATTGAAACGGCACAAGGTGACCGTTTGTCCTTGAAACTTCCCCGAATGTGGTTTTCGGAGCTTCGTTGAATAGAACATCTTTCTGAAAGATCTAGATAGTCTGTTTTTAAAAAATATCTTTTCAACTTTATCTTCCCTGAATTCACTGTTCATGAATAAAACTTCGGAATTTCGTGAGTACTTTAAACTTGACATTTTGGTTTCAGATTGCTATCAATAGACTTGGTCGGGGAACTGTGGTGTTTGCTATCGATATTGGTGTGGAGACGAAGGGACAATAAAGTCTGAGACAATTGATTGACATTTTGCAAATGAAGTATTTACTGTATGGTTCTCCAATATTGCTAAAAGATTATGTAATTTTGTGTTTAAATACATTCGGTTGTCCTCACTGGTGTTTTCGTTCACTACAAAACCACCCTCCAAAAATATTCGGGAGACTTTACTCATTTCGTCATCAATTATCTCTTCTGTACATGTTCGTCTAGTTATTTAGGGTATAGAGGGGATTAAATATCTCTTCCTACTTACCAGCATTCAACTCTGGAAGTTCGTATGACTATCCGTCCCAGGTTGGCCTTTTGTATATCTATCGTTGTAAAGATCAAACTTGTCTTCGTTGCTCTGGTAAATTTAATAGCTACCATTCTAGTCCAAATTAACTTTTTTTCCAATAACTGATTTTAACTTGAAGCTGGAGCATTTCTCTATAAATTACTATTTCCGAATATGCTGACTAATCTGAGTTGGTAGTTCAGCAAATATTTGCATAATTACAACAAAAGCTCTATAGAACACTTATTATTATAAACAAAAGTTTCGTTACATTTTCAAAAATTATTTTATTTATCAGTTATTCGCCTATCGTAACTACCTTTTTTTCAAGATTGTCGTACATTAGTGAAAACTTTATTTAATTTCTGTTCTATTGTTGTTTTATAATCTTATTAACTCTTCTATTTTTGTTTTCTATTTCAACATCTTCATAGATGCACTATTTTATAATCTAAGTGCGTCCAATTTTGTTCGCGTTTACAAACGTGATGCATTATGTCTATTCAAATTACTTTTATTGGAAAGACGTATTTTATTTACTGGAGATTCTGGCGGAACTCTATCAAATTGGATGTTAACTTTACTCAGTTTGTATCCAGGTAATCAAATTTATGTTATTTATTTCTTGTCATAATTTTTGTCTTCCATACAATTTCTAATCACAATTTATTTGAAAGTGTAAACATTCATTAAGATATGTAATTTCACAATACAATTTTAATTATAGTCTTTGTAATCAAATTCACTGCTAAGTTTTTTGATGATCTGATAGTATTATAAATTATCTTGACATATATATTGACAAACCATGAACTAACGAAAATCAAGGTTTTTAAATAATTGGGCTAATTTAACTTGAAGAATATAGCCCTAAAAAAATGAAAAGATGTTTTTGACAGCAAACTCAGGTGCGTATCCGGAAAGACGGTTTGATCTGTGCAATGAATGCACTAACCTCCTTCCCCCAACTTTCATATGATTGTAAGCCCCTGCATTATTTTCCTCCCGAAGAGAAACCAGAAAGAACTATAAATCAAACTATAATACATATGTAACTGAACTATTTTAGATCAGAAGAAATTATGTTAAACAAAGATAGGACGTTTCGTTGCTAAATATATATATTGGTAATTTTGTCTTACCTATTATTACGGTGCTTGCCAGTCAGTTCTTCTCTTCATCCAAGAGAACAGCTGAGGTTGATATATTTGACATTTTATTCTCTACTGTTGACTTTATCATGAATTCATTGGTTGTTATATTTCTTTAATTAATATTTCTGTTATCGTACGTTTCAACAGATATGTTACGTAGTGGTTTGTCACAATGTTCTGTTATTGATCCCTCATGGATTTCAGAAACAAGTTATTGGCCTAATATGAATGATTCCAATTCAAATAGCTTTAATTCTTATCAGTATTCATTAGAAAGATCATTAGCTAAGATCAGTGGACAAGTGTCAGAACAGAATACAGATTCAACTCTAAATAAAGTAAGCTTTCCTGTATGTGTCCAGAAACATCCTCATTTGTTATAGTTCTCAATGAAAAATTGTGATGTTAAATATTGTCGTTGATATGTAACCTTTCTCACTAATCATTTACAATTGCGTTTTAGTGTTGGTTATTTATTATCGCACTGGAGAGACCAGGTTTTGTATATTTTCTGCGCTTTCTAGATGTCTTCATTTTCAGTACACCATAAGTATAGGTTTAACAACCGTTTCACAAACTCAGTCAAGAAAACTATTCATTCTACAATTGGTTGTTGGAAGTCTTGTATACGAATAACTATTTGTTAAACGGTGTATTGGGTAGTCAATTGTTGTTAAGTTATAAGATATTTTCAAATGTATCTATAAATACTACTAATGTTTCGTTATATGAATTCTTAAATCTACATTGTTAAGGCTTACTGGACAAGGAATAATGGACGACATTTCACTGTCTGCTTTAATCACGTTTCTTGTTCCCTGGTCACTGCGTCAGTGCTCAGTAGTTATATTTCTTACAAAATTCGATTCATATATGTAGGTTGCTCAGTAGAGTCGCTTGAAGCTCTATATATACTACCGAAAAAGACCACGGTTTAGTGTAACTTGTTTGTTACTTGGAATCAAGTAACTACTTCTATGAATTCGGTGTTTATCTTGTTTTGCTAATGAGGTATGGCAACTTGGACCGATGCACTTATATTCCTGGTCCTACGTTGTAGCTGACTGACCGACTTGGAATCAAGTATTATTAATACGGAATTACTGTTTATTTTATAGCCTTGGATAATGTACTCCTAGTTTCAATGAATAGTATTGAATTGTAATGAAAGCATCATCAGATTCTCCTTAAATATATATTCCATCCGTTTGTATTGGTTACTTTCATTCAAACAGAAAATAAACTTCCAATTAGTCATCTCCATTTTTTTCATTCTTTCATGTCCTTAACTTTTTCACAACAATAATAAGTCATTTCAAATCCATTTCAATCTTCTAGGAAGAAGACGTTCAGCTTACTTCAAATGTTGATTCCAAGAACTCAGGTTTGTTTATTGGCCTATTATATAAAAATATTGTACGTGCTTTTTTTCACAAGTTCTCATTTTTATAATATGGGCGGATGTTTAATAGTGTCATCAAGACTCTAATGATATGTTATGGTTATTCAAAACAATACTTTCACCAACTATACTGCAATTATGACACTATGGCACATATACAGGGTTATTAATATCGCCTATCTATCAGTACCAGCCTTAGTGAATTGTTTACAGAACCCATTTTATAGCTTTTGTTAAAAATGACATCAGATGTGTGTTATTTTCATATGTAAACAACCGAATACTCATCTATATCGTATAAGCCATTTTACTTCGTATTTTCTATGGTATCTACTTATAGCCGTTTCGGTAGGTGCAGAATTTAAGGTCGATTTCTACGTGATTGTTCTAATCAATGGTTGGAGACGTGATATATTTGAGAATCAGTCGTAGTGAAATAGATACGTTCACTCATTATCATTTATAGGCTCTTAAGTGTCAAATTATCTTACGTTTTTATTCTCGAATCATATTGTTTATGTTTAATGTTCACTACTACCATTAATAATGCTACTATATCTACTACTATGACGTTCATCTTGAGAATTTTAGCTCTACGTACTCATATGGTGATGATACACATATGTGCAAGGTTCAACGTTGCTTATGACTGACTTCTAATTTCTCTTCATTGTATCACCTGATGGTTTATATGAGTATATAAGTTATTTATAAAGATTTACTAAGGTGAAAACCGTTTTTAAGAAATTCTATACCCAATTCATGGTCGGATTGACAATTTAATCTGCCAATCAGCATTTTGTAAATACTCATTCTATTTTTGGTTTCAGCCAATAATATTGATCCACAAAGAACTCATATAATAACTGTATCTGACACCTTACATACGGAATCAAAACAATCTGTAATAAATGAGTCATATAAAAAATATCAAACCAACAATTTTCTGGAGAAAATAACTGACGATTCAATGTTCAAATTTTCGTTAAATTCACCATTTCCTACTGATGATTGGGGATTTCCTTTATCTGTATTTACGAAAGTGAGTTTTTTGTTATTCAATTCTATGACTTGAATAATTTTCTCTAATTCACAATACCGTTAGACTTAGATTATGCTTGAATAATTTTTCAATCATACTTGCTACAGTTAAATAACAATTATTTTTTGCTTAAAGTAGCATAAAACCTGTTTCCGTAGTGTATTTTTTAATTTTTCAGTTTTGAACCAACATCAAATGTAATACCAGGGACATAATCTAATGAAAAAAAAACCTTTATCGGTATCATTTGTGGAAACAAATATGTTTGTTGGCATTTATTAGGAAACATTTTCAATTCTTAGGAGATCTCAGCTATATCAAGTAATCTGGCAAAACTGAGCTATCAGATTGCGAAGCACCATGTTCAACTGGAGCTTCTTATAATTTTGGCAAACATTTTATAAATTCAATGACATCCAACAAATGAAATATATGCATTTATTTAACTGTCCAAGTATAAAAAAAGAACACCTCTCATCAGCTAAATTAGATTTTAAGTTAAACCATGTAGGAATTTTAGTTATAACTAGTTCCTCCTTGTTGGTTTAATTGATATTTATCTAGTAATGACATTTTAAATTTTCAGATTATTGTATGTTTTTTCTACTTGAATAAGTCAGTAGTTAAACATGCTCAAAGAGGAAATTCCAAACTGAATGCATTTTATGTAGTCATCAACATTCATCTAAAAGTGAAGTTCTCTGTTTTTCAGCAACAGAAACTGGCGTACTTTTCACATATTAGTTATACGTTTTGTACAATTTGTGAAGTATGGCAGGAGTCAGCATTCAAATCACGTCTAATTAACATGACATCATTCTCATAGGTTCTTTCACTATCTTTTCGCATATACTGTCACTCATCCTACACAGTTTCGCCTAACCATCTTTAAACATACTGTTTTTGTGTGATGATTGATAAGGTTGAACTAGAAACCAAACCAGGTTAGTGGGATGGTGTTTGAATCTTTGACTACAGTAGTTGAAAGTCGAACGCCTTAGTAAGTGAACTACCGGTCCACCTCGACGACTTCAACCGTCTCACTACTGTTGTCTCAATTTATTTGTAGCAATTTCTGTCAGTTAACAGATACAAATAACGCTTTCAACTGGGCAATAAACTCTGACATTCAGGCTTTATGATACTTACCTAAACTTTGTAAAAAATTTTCCGTATAAAATTTAAAATCAATCATCGATGGTTAGTTTTGTCAACATATTTAATGTGTCCAAAATGCCGTCTGCAACGCATAAAATTTATAATATGTCATACAGAATGTTCGTCGAATTCTACCTATTGTTTTTCTACAGTCTTATTTAGCGCCTATGTATATTCCCCTTGGTTTAATGGATAAACTACTAGAACATTCTAGTCTTCCTATGTCATTCAGATCAAGTATTAATTTACCATCATCTGGAAATCAGATTCTGACTTTAACCGATCGATCAGTACGTGGTTTTGTAGCTGGTGCAACCAATCCCTTACTGCAATCAAACAAACAACTAACTGAGGTTTTCGTGTTATCCTTATCGCCTGTTAAGGATATTTGTGAAAACTACTTCCCGCATTTGTCTGAACTAACCGGTGCATTTGGAAAATCGACCTTTGGAATAGAAACAGATTCTATGTCGAGTCTTTCACTGTCTGAAAATTCAACGAAAACTTCTTATTCCATTAATGTCGATAGTGAAAAGAATACACAAAACACGGGATCCAAAGTTTCAAATTTTTCACGACCATTTTCTTTGGTAAGTAATCAGGTGTCGATAGATTTGTCTTGGTTTGTATATAATTGAAATAAAATATTCTTTTTTAATGCTTAGTTAGAGATTTACACACTTTCATCCACAAGAATAGTTGTCCCATGACTTACTACTGAAGTAATAGTTATACATTCCCAGTAGTACTTTACTGACATAAAAATATCGTTTGTTTTACTTTGTCTTGTCTGCAACACAATAAGTTTTCCGATCTTGACAGTAATCTATCATTATGAGAAGGATGTTCTTACCAGTATTAGTTTCAGTTATTTAGTTGATAAAAGTCAGCATTTATCCGATAGGCACTACCATATTCCACAATTAACAAGAAATTCACTTTGATGTATCATCTTTTAATTCGACTCAATATCCCTTAGATTTCAAAGTGAACTTAATAACATCCTGAGCTCTTTGTTCAACAACTTTTACTCACATTTGTGGTCAAGCTTATTTTTACTTATCGTTAATATTTTATTATTATGTATTGTTCTTACATACAATTGTGGTATTCGCTTTTATTTTCATTTCAGCCCAAAAGATCACAACCAATCATTCAAATAAATTCAGAAAACATTACTGATAAGTATCCTGTCAACTCACGCTCTATGCCTGTTCCACTGAACCGTGCATTGCAACTAAGTCGTCCTGATAGATTGTTTATTGATCATTTGGTAATGACTGTCAATACATGGTACAGTGCACAAATAGACTATTGTCAACAATTGTCTTCCAAAAAAGGTGAATTGGTAACATCCCATAGCTTTCATAGATTAGATCAATTGGATACAGAAACTTTGGAACAGCTCACATTAATCCAAAAAACAGCCTTATTAAGATTTCCATGTGAGTATTTCTTGTTATCAGCCGAGATTTTCCGTCTTATAATTTTGTTATATGATAATTGTGTCTGCTAATCCAAACTATCCCATTTCAATTGAGACACTTATTCACTTCTGTTCTGCACCTTATGAAGTAATATAATATGACAAATCAAAATATTCTAGGTTCAAAATCAGTATACACCGGTGACTGTTGAGTGGCCTTGAATCGGACTCCGATTTGATCATGTTTTTTTTGCTATCGAAGTATACATGTCGCCAATCCTCGCATATAATCATCGACTTAAATCGCGTTGGTGAATAATGAAAGTAAGTCAAATACGAGAATGGATTTTTAAATACGTATATTTCGTACAATCGTTGATCGGAAAGCGAAGCAAAACGAAATAATGTGCAATGTAGAAGGCGAATAAACCAAATCGATTTAATCAAGCGTGAATCGATATTTACAGTCAGATAAAGATAAGTTACAGACATGTAATGAGTAAGATAATAAGTGCGCGAATAATTAACAAGGTCAAAGTGTCACTCAAGAAGAATGAATAAATTGGCCTGTCCGCAAGGTAGAATAGGCTATGTGAGTTTAACATAGTAACCGATACTACAACTGTTCTACCTTTTCACTTGCAAAATTATAAGTTATAAACAGACATTTCTGTAAATAATACATCCCACAAATTTTTAGTGTTGGACTTAAGATTGAAGAGAATATGAAAGACATTCATCTGTATAAAGATTGCATATGAATGCTCTCAACTATTTGTTTTTTAATATGTGTCAGTCAGTCAGCTACAACGAAGGACCAGACACATATACGCATCGGTTGAAGTTGCCACACCTCATCAGCACAGCACCAAGTTTATAGACGTAGTCACTTCAATGGTGATAATACATAAAAGAAAGAATTAGTTGGTAGAAATAAATATATAAAGTAATTTTAATCCGACGGTTTAAGGGAAGACAAGGAGTATATACATCGACGCCATTGTGATCGATTTTGGACCGTGTCACCCAGAGTCACGCGGACCCCAACCAAGTAACCTGCATCTGCCAACCTGGCTAAGATCAGAAGTTAGTGACTTTGTGGATTGATGCCACGTTTTGGTTTGGCCGACCCTAACTTTTTTCCAACCATTTACAACACCAATCAGCATTGCGTGTCGTGAAAGTCGGTAGGTGGGAATACGTAATATATGACTCAACCATCTCAGTTGGTGTAGATTGACGACCTCATCGACTGATTCATCATCATTCCCTAATACTGTATGTCTAACCTCACTATTACTTACCCAGTAATCCCAGCAGATGCGAGCAATTTGAATTCAATTAAACCTTTCATTTATCAAAGAGTAATCATTAAATTGTTATTGTATATTTAATCTCTCATTTTGTCATCAACTTGATCATGTTTCCTTAATGAATTAATCAAACATTTCATTTAGCTAAATATCAGAGGTTCATGTCTTCATTACTTCTAATGAAACTAATAAAATAGAAGTTTTGTTAGTTAAGCTAAAATTGTTCATTTAAATTTTTGTGTGATTTTCTCGTTTAAAAATTTGCCAAACTAAGTTTTAAAAAAAACTACTATCCATGTGAAAATTACTACTTATTTGTTGGCACTCATCAACAATGACTTTTTATCTTTATATATTTTAGTAATAATGACAAATCTTTTTTGTCAATTTGTAGGTATAGTCAGTTTAATACAATAAAGTAGACAGATATATTTATCGTATAATGATGATTTACAAGCTATCACATGATAGCAATTTTGTAGAACAACATGTATCTTAATGTATTCACAGTTGTGTATAAAACTATATGTTGTAATCAACATATAGGACTTTAGAAAAATAACCATGGACTCGATTTGTCTCACCATATCAGCACAGTAAGATCAAATTAACAAAATGAGTCGAAGTAATTTTAGGGTTCCTGATAAGGTTTAAAATAAAAGAATGTATTCTTGGAGTGAAAAGTTTCAAAACATATTGCAACACCATCCATTTTGATTCATGTTACTGAGTATCTCCAACCAAAAAAGTAAAACATTGTCACTGAAATAAGTTAGTGCATATTCAATTATAGAGTTATTTTAAGAACTGTAGACTGTTTACAATTCACTTTAATTACGTAAGTGAACTTCACTCTTTTGTACACAGAAATCAGGTTTACAATATTAAATTTTTGCCACTTCAGGTGTGTACAAATTCCTGATCCAAATCTCCTTCAAACCAATAATAAATATATTTTTTGTTATATCCTAATGAGTAGAAAAACTGTATTCATGACGTTTCGTGACTTAATTTGGGCCACTTCTTCAGAGTAAATAAGTGACCGAAATAAATTAACACAATTCTAAATAGCACAATGATTTTAAACAACGATTATCGTGGTAACATGTGACCATGTGCGAAGGATTGAGTGGTTTATCGATTTCTGCTGTCTTATTAGATGTAGCCATACAAAGTAGTTTTGGAATATTTGTTTACCAACTGCACACTTTTTACGACCAATGTAAACTGCTCCACAATATCAAGTAAACTGGTAAATGCATCTAATTTATGGAAGTTTCTAAGATAAACTTCCACTTTGGGCATACGTTGTCAAGTATTAATACTTTTACTGTTATGTAACTTTCTGTACATATGTCTTTTTTTTCGTTTTATTTATTTAGCTCACACTATTTTAGATGCTTGGATACGACAACAGTTTTTAATTTATTTAAGAGCATTATTATTATCTGCTCAAGGTTACAGTAAGTTGTTTCTTTGCAGTTTCTTTTCACTGCTGTATGTTTACATCCTATGGATATAAATTATCAGATAAATTATTTCTTTTTTATCGTGAACTAATTGCATAAGTAATCAAGTGGTATGTTCGTGACTTAATTATCATTTCAATCTGTAAGTTTATGAGGTAATATTAACCTTTAAATAAGTGTTTTTCGCGAAACTTATGCAATCTTAGTGTTAAACTCAACATGAATATTTTCAGATCGGATATAATCAAGAATGTTTCCAATATTCTTATACAATTGTATCGGTTTTCGCTAATTTTGTATCTTAGTACTGGCGTGCAGTTGTCTAGTTTTTTTTGTCATTAAGTTAGTAAGCACAGAGTGATATAATCAGTGTTAATAAGATTAGGTGTCAGTGTCACTTACTTACTACCAACAGCTGTGATAATTATGTTCCATCGAATTGCAAAGTGTATTATATTTCTCCAGTTTTCATACTATTTACAAATATAATTGTATATAACCCACGACATTCGCAACTTGCTAATAAATGTACATCGAATATAATAACCACAGCATAACTTTCGTTCCTTATTACTCCAGCTATCTTCAATGATAATTACTACCGTAGTATACGAGTAATTTCCTTAATTTTCAAGTCTTGGGATAATTCACGATAAGTTAGTCACCTTAGACCACTGATCCGGCATCCAACGGTGTTAATGTCTAACTTCAAACAATCCACGAAATTGAGCGACACATCCACCATTGTCATCAGTGATCATAATCTCAGCTTCTTAAATTACTACAATCTCCACAAAACTCCTGATACTAATCAACTTATGCTTACTAGTGACTGGCTTCAAGAGGTATATCTTTTTTTAATGGCTTTATTCAATATTATATTTTGGTACAATGTAGAATTCTCAGCACAGGTTATTTCAACAAGTTACTTACGCAACAACAAAAAAAGCACAGTAACAAATACAAAAAAGAAATAAAAAAGGTTTTTAGAAAATAACAACCGAAAAACTGTACAACTTTTAAAATTAAAGACATGTTAAGAATGCAGGTTATTGACTAGGTTAACTCTAACAACCTGTTCGTCACAGAGTATATTTGCTAGATAAAGTATTATAGAACTTTTATACTTTTGCTTGCGTGCATGGATTTTAATATAATTACGTCTCGTTCTACCAGAAGATATACAAGGAGAAAGATAAGAGTGAAGGGGATGGCTAGTATCTGATAAAATAACACCTGCCAGGAGTTTGCATGATTTTAAATGTGTAGTGAGAAGTAGTGACCAGTAGAGTTCAACCGAGTCAGTTGTGAGATAATAACTCACTGATGACAATGGTGGATTTGTCGCTCAATTTCGTGGATTGTTTAAAGTTAGACATTAACACTGTTGGATGCTAGCTGGTTCAGTGGTCTAGTGGTTAAGCGATCGCGCGCGTCACTGATAGGTCGTGGATGCACACTTCTGAGGAGTCCAATAATAGGACGAAACGGCCGTCCAGTGCTTTCAGATTTTCCATAGTGGTCTAGCTTCAATTGACTCATGATCTCAAACATTATATTTTCAAAAAAAAACTATCATTTTTATTGTCAAAAGTCTATTTGTTTAAAGTTATTTGTTATAGGTAACTTAAATCTAATCTACTTATAATTTTGCATAATAATAATTCTTTATAGATTCCAATGCATCAGACTTTCAGTCAGCCTATTTAACTTGTTTTCGTTTAACAAGAAATTTTTTAATTTGGCGTTATCAATTTATTCCAACTCAATTGTTTACTGTTTCTAAACCAGAACAAATTCATCATAATACTTCTGACACCCAATTAATCAACAAACCAATAGATGATAATGTGGAAATTTTAAAAACAACTGGAGATTCATATGTAGGTTTTTGTTTGTTTTAATTTTTTTCTAGTTTTTTTCTTTATTGTTGACTGAAATGTTTTCAAGTTTAATATTACCTTCTTCGTCTTCTGATAGAATATGTACTGCAAACTTTATTATCATTTCAGTCAGTCAGTAACAACATATTATCTTATTAACCTGATCCAATCAAAGTATTGATTACGTCATTTCAGTTATTTCTTGTGTAGATTTGCTTACTTTTAATAATCTATATGATTGTAATAATTTTCATTAGCTGGTCAAATTTCAAAATTATTTTAAGGATTGTTGAACGTATTTTCTTTTACTTTTGTGTTGCTTGGTATGTACGTAACATTTTATGTAAAGAAAATATTTGCACTTGGAAATAATGACTAATCCTTGTGTTTGTGTGTGTGTAAGATCATTAAGTATTTCGTATGAAAGCATATTGTTAATGAAATCCAACTTTATCTTTAAGGATTTTATATGTTATTAATGCTTTTGGGTTGCTGAAAGTTTTCGTAAAGTGAATAAAGGTAATAATAATAATAAATATTGTATTCAATGCTCATTAGGCTGAGATTACATGCTGGTTGGAGGTAGTCGACAGGATACCCTGGACCCGGGGTTCGTGCTACTTGGCACTCGTCAGTAAGGTGTACCTGTGATCTTGAGGGAACTGATGCTTCCTGGCTGACTTGATCTCGTGTCACCCAGCTTCACAGTCAGAGACGTTACCACTGAGCTATCCGAGCCGCGACCGACCTCCTGTAGGACTGGGATGTAATCACAATTGATTGATCGTCACCCAGTGATCAATCAATTGTGCTCATTAGGTTCGAACAAGATATTCTCCAATTTCTCAACCGATAGTAAATCATTTTTACTCAACGAATGATTTTATGTCATCCTCATTAAAATAAACAAATTAGCTTTATGTGGATTATACATTTACGAATATACCGAATAGGTAGTTTTTTTCAAATTCAGCTTACATTTCCTAGTCGTTATCAATATTTCTATTCGAATTATGAATTATAGATGACAAACTATTTGTTAAATGATTTGGTCTTATCTATAAATCGTTGTAATAGATCTGTCTTCTTCCTTCCTTATGTTTTAAACGATACGTAATGTTACTGAATAATCATTTATTAGACTATTGATAATGCACCTGTGTCAGATGAATCTTTCTAGATTCATCATCTAGTTTTTAGCAACATATTAATATTAATGGGTTTTCATTACTGTTTTCACTACCGAACTCCATATTTCAATAGGTTATGATGAAGTATTCATAACTTAGTCTAGTTGGTTCCTTCTCTGAGTGACACTTGATACTTCTACCTCTCTCATGTAACTAGCTATTAGCCTTGTGATTTTGTAGTCATGGGAATAAATACATTCTATGAAATCCGATAAGGTGCACAATAAAACATTTCTGCAAATGTATAATAACATTCTGCTTTTGATTTGTAAATTGTAAGTAGGCTACGAGTTTGTCAGCACTAATGCTATTTCAGAAAACATTAACTAAGCTTAAGCTACGTTCGTTTTTTTTTACAAACGAATTCAGTTACTTTTTCAAACATCGACACCTCCCAGCAATTGGAGACTACCATTTCAAATGATGTTAATTTTGTGTATTATTACTAATATCATGTACCTACAATAGTTTGGTAAAGAATTTTCCCAACATGAACGCTACATTGGAATCGCAATGCTATGATACCACTGTATTATGATTTATAATTACATATTTACCACAACAACAACATCACCTATAATGGACAACAATACTACTTGGAGTGCGATCGATCATCTAAATTTTTATGCTCTATTGGTAGTTATTCATAAAACCTGATTCATTGAAGAAAAGCCCGCCGTTAATGAATATGGAAAGATAAATTAACTGATCAGCAGAAAGGTTTAGTCTGTCATAAGCTTAAACAGAACTTACCACATATATGTCGCACACACTGTCAGTACATTGAGATGAATTTATCAATGCAAATGACGAGATAATCGAAGTATCAGGGGCAGTTGTAAAAATTACACGTAAACAATGTGATTCACGAACAAAGAATGGTTGTTTAGCATAAAGAGTATAAGTATTTCAAGATAATGAATAAATACGTATTTGCGGTCGCGATCGATTCTAACCCAACTTAAGCAAAGTGACATAACTGTACACAATTTATAGTTGCAAAATGTGAACAAAACTTCTTTTTAAACGTCATTAATTGTAGTACGCAGATTTGATTAGAATTGAGACCCAAACACTAAACTCATTGATTTTCCGCTATACCGACATCATATTCGATAAAGAAAGTTAAATGCTTCATATAGAAGAATTTCTATACTTTATAACGATTTAAAACTGACACGAATATTTGGTATTTCAGTTATTGTTCTGTTGTAAATCCGAGCATGTAACCAAATAAGCAAACTTTATTTGAAAATTATGTGTAATAAGACTCACAGATTCACTAAAATCTAGAAAGTTATAATATAGTTAACATAAATACATCATTATATATAGGCACTGTAATAATAAAGTCACCCAATATTTCAATAAATTTCTATTTTGGTTTTTTTGTTTTGTTCCAGAATTCACAGTTGCAGGACTCATGTACAACTTCACCAGACTCTGTTGCTGCTGTAGTCTCGCAACATCCTGGACGTAAACTTGCAGAACCTGATGATTGGAATCAAATTGCTGGTAGTTTTAAAAAGTTTGTCTGCCCCATATCTATCATTTAAACATTTTATCAAATGAAATTTTAATGTTGATATGCATTTTAGAGGTCATTCAGCAATATTTTCGAATAGTGTGCATATATTAAACACTATTATGAAAATCTGATTATAGTTAGAATTAACTCAAATTTAATTTTGATCAATTCGAATCCATAACTTTAGTTCTTGATAGTATTCTTTGATATAACACTTCCATATGAATTATAAACGATAGTGAAAAAAGGACTAACAAAACAAGGAATGTCACATTCTGTGGTTGTACATTCAGATAAAAAGATACGCGCTTTCTATACTTCAGTTCAATCTTTTATGGGAGTGAGTAGAATAGAAATCGGCGAATGAACAAAAATGTATGCAGGTCATTAATAAGCGGATATATATATATATATATATATATATATATATATATATATATATAATAGACTTCTTCCAAGTTTGTATTGTCTTTGCTATCTCTTATCAGGCGCTTGGCCTTGAGATGGCATATGAACACAAGCGCATGGTATGTTTAATCTTGCTCAGCCTATTACCTCTCCCTTCTGGAAAGTAGACCTTCCCCCCTGCGGTTCAGCTGCTTGAGTTAAGGTGAGGATACTTCAATTAGGCAAGTTGTCATTTTTTTTCAGACTTATATTACAAAGAGAAATTTATGAACATAAAGGGGCCACTTAGTGTACAGAGCATGTCTTTGCGACTCATTTTAAAATAACTTGGATTATCCCGTTGTTAATATTTTGACTGAAATTTGATCAACTTTGGTTCGCATTTGAGGATCCTGTGCGGATTACCTCAATTTAGTCATTATGACCCAAGTTAATACAGAATAGTTGCAATGTGGGTTCCATCCCTAGCCACATACCATTTATTGTATATTAACGTGTGTTTTTGCATTTTAACCCTTTATTACCTCAATTCGTGAAATAGGTTGGTATATATGAAATACACCGAATGGTTTTATTTCACTATTATCTTCACATTTGATTGCCTTGGATTTGTAGATGACTTCATTGGTCGTAAGTAGTTATATTACTTATATTTAGTTAATGAACTTTGGAAATTTCACATCAATCAGCTTACTGAAACTGCAGACAGAAGTAAACCGCTGTTTATTTCTCTCTATTTTCTGATGTTTCTCCAATTAGTGTGTCAGTACATAATGGATACCGTCTTTCGAACGAAGTAATCTCCATTATATTCCTACTCAAATTGATAGTAATTAACTAACTACCTGCTACACAAGCATTGAAACTCTTCAGTTAAACGAAACAATTTGCCTACCATTCGGTATTTTCTTTTCGAGAATCCGAAATAGGTTTTAAAGTTTCTTTTATCACTTTCTTAGTTGAAACTTCACATAACTTCAAATTATAAAATATATTTGTAAATTCATTTGAATTTCTCATTACATAGGTTGAGCAACATGGCTGCTGATCAAGGTCGGAGACTTGTCAGTCAAAGTGTTGCTGGTCTTATGAAATTCGGCAGTAAGTATTTAATGTTTTCGGTTGCAATCAAAGTTAAATTATAAATAAGTACAGTCAGTCATTGCCAACGTATATCATGACGAAGATATAATTTATCTTAAGTTTCCATAATGCATTAGCTCGACAAGACGATAATAGCACAATACATAACAAAAGCAATTTAAATAATGTAGTGGCAGTGATGATAAGAAAGACTTAATATTGGTAATGTTTTTCAAAAAGACAGAGTGGAAAGTATGAATGAAAAAATTCTTGAATTCGCAGTCTTAATAAAGATAAATAGTAAGTAACTTCATCTAGAAAGAACTGTTGTAAAGACCACTCAGTGAAAAAACTGAGAAAACATGAAAATGCGAAATAGCCCGTAATATATAGATCTCAGTGAACATGTAGAATTATTAAACCCTTTGTCCCCATAATGTGACTTTAAAAAGGATGCACCCCGCTATCCTACCGAACAATTGTCCAGTCCCATCTTTAATAATTCTATACTACCATACTGTTGAATTTCACATAGGACTAATTTAGTTATCAGCTAGTATGAGAACTAAATACTGGGTTTGCAAAAGGCGGTCAATGGTAAAAAAGGCGGTTATCAAGTTTAATGAATGTAGAAGAAATACCTGCGTGTAGCAGTCGAGAATGTCAGCTATCGTGAGCTGGAATTCAGTGAAGTATAAATACCCATTCAGGCATGTTCAAATAGACTCATTTAGTCTGTTTATCGCTAAAAGAGGAAGGAGCTCTCGTAAAAAAATTATGGTTCTCTGTTTACTTGTTCTTAAGTATACTATAAACATCCATTCATATTTGTGCTCTCGATTTTCAGACTTACGATTAACAAAAAAATTTAGCCTAGAAATCTTATTTCCTTTAGGGTGTAAAATCTTGGAACCGTATGTTACATAACTTATTCTTGCTATGTCTTTAGGTCCTGCACCTGATTTTTACGGATTTTGCCATCGTAATTCACCTAGAAATTTCAGCAGTACTAAAACGTCGAATAAAGACGGCCCACAATTCGATATATACCAATTTCATTCAAACTGGTTTTGAAATTATACACATTAATGACTGATTTAAAAATTAATGTTTAAATTTGTAGAATTCTTAAGTCTTAAGTACAAATGAAAATCCGGACAACTTGTTCGTTTTCGCTGATTGACATAGCTCTCACAGTTTTCATCAGAGCGTAAGTGAATAAAGTGGATAATGCTTCCTTTGTGCACCGATATCCTAGGAAAATCAGACAAGTATTATGACGTCTCAGAGTTATATGATAAGCCAGATCCAAAAGTCGTGGATACATAGATCATTCGCCTATCGAATTCGTTCCGTCTGTCTTTGAGTATACAGGTACTGTATGTTCGTTCGATATTTGATTTCTCCTATGTAGCTGTGCTGTTCAAACGTTAACCATTGTGTCATGACAACGACCTTTAAAAGTTGATATAAGGCTTTAAAAGTAGTTTTCAAGACTATCGAAGTTGGACGGCTCCTCTACTTCACAATTATCATAAACCAAAATGAAGTTAGAAAATACACGTTTCGTTATTTTCGGGGAAAGCATTCTTAAGTGAATGGTGCAGACTGTCTTCAAACACTTATTTTTATGTTTACCTGTTCACTTATTGCACTAATTTCCTATGCACGTGATTAGAATGTCCTTATCACACACTTTCATTATGATATTGATTCCTTACACAATCAACTAGGTTTATTTCCTCCAATTACTAGGTGATTTCAACTCGACATTTCGTTCATCTTCACCATCAAGTTTTGTTTGGAAATTCTCAGATGCTCTTAAATCAGTTGTTTCAAATCCCATATCAATTAGTTCTCCAATTCTACCACTTGAAACCACAGGTACCAAAGACGAATCAATTTCTCCACAAATCAATGTTCCGAAAACTCAGATACCAGATAATAAAAATTACTTTTAATACTCAATGTTGTTCATTGTTGTAGCTGTGATATTTATTGTGATATATTTTACTTCACAATGAAGTCCTTCTTTTAATCATATTTTATATCAAGCTTTATCAATCTCATGTTTTATTATTCCCCATTTTATGCATCGTTTTATTCTTGTGGTCGTAAATGCATTTGTATGAACGCAATCTTGTTGTCTAATTCTTTTACGTCCAGAGTTTTGTTGTACTAATGTTATATTTTGCAATAAACATTTGTGTAATATAATAATAACTTATCAATAACCGTAAATTACTTGAAACACGGGAATTTACAGACAAGATCAAATTGTTACAAATGTTGCGTTATTTATTACGTTAAACTTGTTTGCCTATCTATGGTGGGTTATAGCTTGAATGCAGAAGCAGGATAACAAAATGTTTATGCATAAACAAATGATTGCTGAATTAAAACTGGGTTATACACTGTGGAAGATAGCGTGTCATATGGATGCTGCTCTACACCAACTCAAGGTTGCAGCGTAGAGTGATTGACTATTTTGAACATGTCTTTGCCAGTTAAAGGCGGTCTCTCATCGTTGTATTTGTATATTTGGTCCCGTTTTGTTAGGAATACTTGTAAGGCATATTTATCATTCGTCTTCGTGTCTGGTAGACTGTTTTTTGCTAAAGAAACCTTTGATTGTTTAGGAGAAGCTGTTATTTTTGAGGTATTTCGTAATTCTCATCTAATTTAGCTTTGCCAAGTTGGAACCAACCAAATGAAATACAAAGTTAGTGTCTTATTGAAGGCATTTTGGCTCGTTAGCGCTTTTTGTTCAAAGCCAATAATAGGATTTCGGCCGTTACGAGTGATCTTTTAAAGGCAATTAATAGCGTATTTCAATATGCTCTGAATCTTTACTCCATTTTTCCCTCGAAATCTAATTTTAACAAGTAAGTATAGTGTATAGCGTTTTTCCAACATACTCATTTCACAAAAGTGGAAGCACAGACCATCTCTAACAAAATAGACGTCTGTTTGCCTAGGTTTATTTCTAACATATTATTGGTGACCTCAGACGTTTCGTTATATTCAAAATATCTTGTTTAACAGTAATTAGTTGTTCTTGAATAATCCAGTCCTTTGTCGTTGACTAAGATTGTTATTTAACAGTTTCCAGGGATATAACTAGTAATGATTTGAACTGTTCATTAACTTGAATTAAATGGAGTCATTTGCTTCAACTTTTCAAGTGTTTCATCTAGTTTGGTTGAGTTATCTGGATTGATGGGTTCTGTTACTTAATGCAACTTGTTCTGAACTAGTTCAGTCCTGTGTGGCTGACTGCACTGTCGTCGGTGACCACAAAGGTATCAAATATAGAATTGACAATGTTGTTTATACGTACTCTCTTTAAAAACATGTTAATTGCAGCCACTGGAAGTTAAATCTTTCAATTAACATTCTCACTTACTTGAACTTGCACTTGTGTGATGGCTTCGTTTCTACCCTCGTCCATAACTGTGGATACAAATAGTATATTGGAAGCATTTCTCATTTATTCTCATCATGGTTTCATTCCTCAGCTTCAATATCTTCACCTTTGCATTTCTGGCTGTTCATGCAGTTTGTGATTGGAGCTGAGATTCAGCAAGATTATCTAATGAAACCAACATTGCTATGTGAAATTATTATTGCTTCATAAAATTATTGTAATTTGTTTGTTACCGAGTGAGCATTTGTCGACACAAATGACAGCTATTCTTTGTCGTTTGTCATTTATTCCATTACTTACAAATGTTGTATGGTTAATTATGTGTTACTTCGTTTTCAAATTTGGTTGTGAACACTTTTCGAAAAATGGTACCTGTTGAACAAGCGTAGGAAATATGTTGAGATAATATAAACTAGTTTGTTTCAATACCACTTTGTCTAAGTGCCTGCTGTTTCATTTGATGTTAGTAACATCGTTAGCACGTTAGATATAAGGGGGAAATAAGCGTGGCCCATACCTTGTGTTTTCAAGATGTTTCAGCTATAATTGCATTGAAATATCCATTCTAGCACATAATAACCTCTATTCAAACTAACTGAATAGATTATCGTTTGTTTATCATACGTTTAACTTAGTGCAACATCTTGTGTCATAGTACACTGCTCAACGTCAGCTAGACAGTCTGTGTTATGATGCTTGCTAACAAGTAGTAAGTGGAATAGAAATAGTTGTCGTTTCATTTACTGACTAATATAATCTGCTGATTAAGAGTTCAGTTGTTTTCTGGTCAGTAAGTACAGAGTTCGGGCGCATTTAAGAACAAAAGGCTCTCCACAAAACCTGCGCTGATATGTCATGTGCTTCGGTTGCTAGTCAGTAAAATTAAAAACAAAGTAATTTACCGGTTCTTAGACCCAAGCAGCCAATACAGACTATATACGCTACATAATTTATGGGCTTTATAACAAATATTGTATGCTACTTAACAAGGATAACGGTTTTCAAAGTTTGAAGGTTAAAAAAAATAAACTTGAATAAATATTACTCAAGTCCTCATTACATAGATTTCTAGACCAATATTACTGAGAGTTTCATCAACTTCTTGATGCACGACACTAGAAATGGGTTGTAATTAAGCTGACACAAGTAAGCATAGTCGATTTCGGGTATCAAACTATTTTTATCATTTAAGCTTTAATCTAATTGAATTATAATACTTCATTTTAAAGTACTGGGTTCAATCATTTCACAGTTTATTTACACGTCAAATCATATTCAAGAACACTGGGGAGACAAAATACGGTACGAAAAGTATTAGGGCAGAAAGAAGCGATGTTGTATAGTAATAAAATCCGAGAATACCGACGCTTACGACGGGACGTTTCGCATTACTTAGAAGCATGATATGGTTTAGTTGTATTTTTAAATACATGTAATAATTTTAAAATATCTACTTTCATCCTTGACATGCTTAAAATAACAATTTGGGCGAAGATTATTTAGGCTATAAAAAATGGGGTTATAATGATAATAATAAAACGTAAGTTGCGTGTTAATAGCCGTTGGTTAATAACTTAACATATAGGTAGTAAGTATTTTGTGTTTTGAAATATTAAAAGCAGTCGATAATGTAGAAACGTTAATATTGGTACTATTTTGGGTTTAAATTATTAAGTCAAATAACGTTTATACCGATAAGCTGTCCATATGAGTTGATTTCCAATTGCATCTGCATTAGTAGGCTAACTTATAGAACAGAAGTATTACCGTGGAGAAGAATTCCAACTAATGTTCCAGTTAGTTTGGTACAGTTTATTTAGTTACGGAGAGATTTTCTCGCCCTCATTTCTACTTGGCCGTGATAGAATTTAGTAACACTACAAATACATATGAATTGTTATAAGAAAATTTTAAATACCTGTAAGGTAATGATTATGTGAATTTTGGACAGATAAGAGCAATTCGTTAAACATAAGTGTATCCGCAAGAGACATGCTCTAGAATCAATGTTCTGATTTGCCATAGACTATTTACTTATACTTTATACCTACTGGCTGATGCTGAACACAAGTTAGTTGCAAGTATTCAGTTTAGTATGAGGCGGAATACGATTTAACTGATATAGTGGTTATAACTAGCTTCCGGGATATTGTGATACGCCCTGACTAAGTCAGTTTGAATAAATATTTTCGCACCCTATAAACCGTTTGTGAAATCTTGGATATGTGGTATTGTGTACTTATCTGGTACTGTTTGACGGTCGAAAACTCTGTAATCCCCGCACGGTTACCAATCGTCTTCATTTTTCATACCCAGTTGTAGCATATAGTCAAATTCAGCTATGGCGATTTTGAGTTTATCTGGTGCTAGTATCATGGGTCTTTCAAACACAGGTGCACCTTCGGTTTCGATCGTATGACTTACTTTTGTTTTGATTTTTCGAAGGCTGTGGGTTTGGTCCAGTTAAGTTTGGAAATTCCGCGAACATATTTTGGAATTTTGCTGTTGTTACTGGAGGATTTTGTATCAAGTTAAGAGATGTGATGTGACTTCTTTACCTTTCGTGTAATTCGAAGTTTCTTTCAGTGTTAAGCGTCGTTTCTTCGTGTTAACTGGAAATTCGTACCTCTGTAGAAATTCCATCCCCAGTATTGCCAGATCTAAATTGGGTACAGTGAAAACACAAGGGAACTGCCTCCTGAACTCCAAATCTAGTGTTGAAGTCTTCTGCCCAAATAGTAATAATAATATATTTCTGCATGTGCAGGTACACGCCATTTTTACAGACATGATCTATAAATGACAACATTTGTTGGTGCACAGCACGCTTCCCAACTAATAATGTTTATAGTTGTTATAAATTAGACTCGTAGAGCGTTTGCTGTAAACAATGACCTTCAGGAGACTCTGTGGTGTTTGAATGGACTAATGATACCTTTGTACTTGTTGAATGCTTGATTTCGAATTCTAAATACAATACATTTGTTCGTGATTTTCTAGTACTTCTTGATTTAATTACGCTAATTCTGGGATTCCTAGTTCATAATATAATTCAAATAATTCGAAACATTATAGACGCGAACGTCAAGTTTGTTCCAGACGTCAGAAGTTTCATAACTGTGTCCTCAGAGCAAGTTTCTGAAGAAAAAAAGAGAAACATAAAAGCAGCAAGGCACTTGAATATGAACGCCAAACGTTTCTTAACATTGTGTAGTAGAACAGACAGAGGTATAATAAATTGGATTAAATTAATATTATCTCTTGTTAGAGTGAAATGAAGTCAGATGCTCCATATAAGAGAATGTAGTAATAGAGAACAATTAGTTGTGTCGTTTAACAAGTTGTAGTAAGCTCACATGAAGGAAGGGAGGTCAAGGTCGATACAAGGAAAGCGGTTTATTAGAAGGGAGTGTGCATACAGAGGGTGAAGTGTTAGGAATACTAACGATCATATCTTTTGTTGTCTTTTTTTCTTTCTTTTCTTTTTGTTGTCCATCTGATGCCAGCCACACAATCCTAGGGTAAAAGTCCGAGTTGTGATGGTGCGCTTAAAATCAAGTCACGGACATTTTGGCGGCTGAAGCAGGAAGGATAGAACACATGTCTCTATAGCGAATTCCTTCAGATTTGATATTGTGTCTCGTGAAATAATACTCTAGTTGAGCAAACCACAACGAAGGGTCACTACGATCAAATTCTGGAGGTCGAGAGTTCGTAGTCATAACAGTGTTTATCTCCACTGGTGACAAATCCTCCAGGCTTTGGGTTTGTATTGAGTCTGATATGAGGCATATG